CGTCAGACTTTGAGGGAAGTTCCTGGGGCTGTAGAAGACAGCATTGCTCCGAGAAAGATGGATAATGAAGGATCTATTCCAGTGACCTGCCAGGGTTGCACCATGATCATTTTTCTGCCATGCCAGGAAATGCATTATACATGCTGCAAGTGCAAGCTTATAAGAATGCTTGAAGAGAAGGTAAGAGAACTCGAGGCACAAATCTGTACACTGAGGAACATCAGGGAGGCAGAAAGGTTTTTTAGATGTGACGGAAGAGGGGCTCCTGAGAGAATGGCAAGAGCTAGCAAATCCTAAGCAAGAGGAAGGAAGTAACAAGGAACAGGTGGGTGAATGGAAGAATGTGACTTTGAGGAGTAAGATAATCAGGAAACAGCCAGTGTAGCTACAAAATTGCTACCAGCCGCTTCTGATGGTGGAAGATCAGAATAACATACTCCGAGATAGAAAGGATGTAACTGACACACAAACACATAGGCAGAGAAGGAACCAAGCTATCCCATGGAGGAAGAGACAAGTAGTGGTGGTTAGTGACTCCCTACTGAGAGGGATGGAAGAAGTTGGGTGCAGACCAGACAAGGAATCTCGAGAGGTTTGTTGTCTTCCTGGAGCATGTATCCAAGATGTGACTGAGAGAATTACAAGACTCTGCCATGACCTCCCTGCCACAGTTGAGATAGTAACAGGACTTGAGGCTCCAAGCACATCTTCTTGTCAAGTTTTGGATTACTTCAGTCCACTCAACATGGAGGAGGCTGACAAATTACTCACAGCTGTTTGCCCAACCACCTGCAGCCTCGTCCTGTGCCCATCATGGTGCACTAAAGGAGATCATCAACATGTCCCTCATTGAGGGACTGTTCCCTAGTGCACTAAAGGGTGCAGTGGGCAAACTGATTGAGAGGGCGGTGGCATTTCAACTGCAGTGTTTTTTGGATGATGCCTCCATATTAGATCCCTTCCAATCTGGCTTCCAACCAGGCCACGGGGCAGAGACAGTCCTGGTTGTCCTCACAGATGTTCTCTGGAGGCATCTGGATCGAGGCGGTATGGGAGTGTTGTTGTTAGACCTGTCGACAGGGTTCGACATGGTCAGCTATCAACTACTGATCCACCGCCTCGCCAACACTGGGATTAAGGGGTTAGCCTTACAGTGGCTCTCCCCATTCCTTCAGGGTCGGGGACAAATGGTGGCTGCTGGGGAACAGCTATCCGGAAGGCACCCACTTATTTGTGGAGTGCCCCAAGGATATTTAATGTTATTTAACATCCATATGTGCCCTTTTGCCCAGATTGCCTGGAGGTATGGTATGGGTTGCGACCAATATGCAGATGACACCCAGCTCTATCTGCTGTTGGACAGCCAGTCAGACTCTAGTCCAGGAGATCTGAACCTGGCGTTGAAAGCTGTGACTGGTTGGTTCAGACAAAGTCGACTGAAATTGAATCTGATGAAGACAGATGTCCTGTGTCTGAGTCGGAGCAGGCCAAGGTTAGGGATCCCTCTCCCAAACTTTGATGGAGTGCCACTGGTGCCAGCACCGGAGGTTAGGAGTTTGAGAGTGCTCCTGGATGCTTCCTTTGGTGTAGTGGTTTGGTGTAGTGGTTAAGTGCGAGGACTCTAATCTGGATGCTTCCTTTGGTGTAGTGGTTTGGTGTAGTGGTTAAGTGTGAGGACTCTAATCTGGGAGAACCAGGTTTGATTCCCCACTCCTCCACTTGCGCCTGGCTGGATGACCTTGGGCAACCCATAGTTCTGATAAGAGCTGTTCTTGAAAAAGAGTTCTCTCACCCCCACCTACCTCACAGGGTGTCATTTGTGAGGAGGGAAAGGGGTTTGTAAGCCGCTCTGAGACACCTTTGGGTAGTAAATCCAATCTCTTCTCTTCTTTCTTAACGATGGAGGACCAGGTAGCAGCCACTGCGAAGTCCGCCTTTTACCACCTATGGCTGATTAAGCAGTTGGTTCCATTCCTTGAAAGCAATGATCTTGCAACAGTGATCCATGCAATGGTCACCTTGAGATTGGATTACGGTAATGCTCTCTACATGGGCTGCCCTTGTCCCAAATCCAGAAGCTGCAGCTGGTGCAAAATGCAGCGGCGAGGCTGTTGTTGTGTCTTCCTGTGTGGGAACACATCCAGCCTGCCCTAAAAGCACTGCACTGGCTGCCTATAGCATACCAGAATCAGTTCAAGGTGCTGGTTCTTACCTTTAAAGCACTATATGGTCAGGGACCTACTTACCTAAGGGACCGCCTATTCAGATGAAACCCTGGAGTGTCCCATTTGCCCTTCATGAAAAGATTGATGCTGAACTTGATCATCTGTTGGAGCAAGGTATATTAGAGCCAGTGACACATCCTACCTGGGAGACACCCATTGTAATACCAATGGAGTCTAATGGGGACATCCGTATTTGTGGTGACTATACGTGTACCATAAACAGAGGCTTACAGCAGGATCCATATCCAATTCTAGTAGTGAGTCATCTTTTGGCTTCCCTGTCAGGGGAAAAAGTGTTTGCTAAATTGGACCTGGCACAGGCTTACCAACAGCTGTTGGTTGATGATATGACCTGGAATTCCCATAAGGATGTCCTTTATAAGGTTCTGGAAAACACCAGGAGCCACACAAACCCCAAACTGAAGATGCTTTACTTTAAAGGCCCCCCGATGTGTGGTAATAGTTTGGGCATCAGCATAATTTGGGGTTTTCCCTAATAAACTTCCATTGAGGCAGGGTGTTAAATCTGCTGTGTCATCTACTTGAACAGGATTTCAGAGTCATTCCAAAATAGAACTGCTAATTCCACAGTTCTGAATTCATTTCTGGTATGAGATGACTTAATTCAGTTTAATCACATTCTGTTTTTTTAATCCTTTATTTAACTTATATGCATATACATGTTAATAATAATTTACAAAACAAAATTATGATTAATGGCACACAAATTAAGAATGTAATAACATAAATAAAATATTAAAATGCAAGTACAAGCTGCACACTATGAGCATGCTTCATAACATGAATTCTTTTTTTTTTGGCCCCCCGGAGGGGATTCTTTATTGCATTTTTTATATACTACAAACGACAATGAAAAATTGGGAAGGGGTAACTACATCTAGGGAGAAAGGAAAGAAAACCACAACTAACTAAAACCCCAAGAATAGGGATCATCACAACAGCTTGTATAAATGTTAATCTTAAATTACTAATATTACTTTGAACATAGTCGGCTATGCTAAATTTTTAATCTTTTTATCCAAAGTTTTAACCATTCAAGAGAACCCCCAGAGCATCCCACAATAAAACTAAAGTTTAAAGGCACAGTTCAGAGTCCTTCAGCCTTCATTATGTCTTATCTTTTCTAATCATCAATTTATATGTATGTTTGGAGGCAGCCGCCCCCTTATCAGAAAGAGAGTCCTCGTCGGAAGACCCCGAGTCCAATTCGCCACTGGATTTGCTGTCATCTTCTTCCTTCTCGACCTCTCTCAGGAACTCACGTGCTTTGAAAACAGAGTCAATCTTTTCTTTTTTATCTTGTAGTTTGAAAATGACTCCTTCTGAAATTAACCATCTGTAGACAATGCTGTTTGTTTGAAGAAAAAGGATTAAATCTTTATATTTATTTCTCTTTTGCCTTATTTCAAATGGAATGTCTTTTATTTTCTCAGCCGTTTGCTCCGTTATGTATTTATTTATTTATTTATTAAATTTATACCCTGCCCTCCCCCATAGGGCTCAGGGCTGCTTACATGGCAAGGAATCTTGCAATAATAAAACATCCAATACATTTGATAGCATTTAAAAACATTATTTTTAAAGTCTCAGTCAGTTGGAGCTGCTGAGTTGCTAGATTCTGTTTTAGATTCATCAGCTGTTGTTCGATGTTAGTCATCTGGTATAGCAGAGGGCACAAGGACTCTGCCAACATTTTGGAGAGCTCGGTGATTTCTTCCAGTCGAGGGCTCAAGCCGGCTGGTTTCACTTTTACTGGTTTGTCTTTCTCTGCCCTCTTCCCCACCATCTTTATGGATTGTTTACTTTTATGAAAACTTGCTAAAGTCTCTAAAATACACCCATACGCTTATCCGCGCTCTGGTAAGTCTCTCAAAACAGATTTCAATACTTTTTCTTCCGCTCCCCCCTAAGTATTTTGTTGTTTAGTTCATGCAGATGGGAGGGGCCCCTCCCCCGCTCATCAGGGGGTAGCTTTCTTATTACATTCTCATTTCACTTTAACCCGACTCACAGTTCATTGTTGGTCATACGCCTCGTTCGGCATATGTTTAAAACGCTCGATCTCCGACGCATGTCCAGGTCAGTGGCTCTAGATCCATATGGACACTCAGCGGCAGGACCGTCGAGGACAGTCGAAGCGGAGAAGTGCCTCAATTCCCCAGCATCGCGCTGGCGAAGAGGTCACCCCTCAAAACCCCATGGCTAGGAGTCTTTTGCCAAGGCTTCGGGGGGGGTAGCGACCTGTTGCCCCCCCTCCTTTCCGCTGGTGCGCAGTTTACATCCCCGGGAGGTCCAGGAGATGTGTCTGCCAGCATGTCGCCATAAACCGGACGCCCATAACATGAATTCTGACCATGAAAAGACTTGTGCAAATTTTAAGAATCACTGCTTTCATTTTTAAAAAAGATGGGAAAGATAGTATTTAGCCATTATAAGCCCAATTCTCATTACTGACTGTAATTAAAATATATTTATTATTATAGGGAATGAGTATTTGCCATGAGCTCCAAAACAAGACGTTGTTTATTCAGGGATTCCCATTCTCTAGGTAAATATATATTAGACCCATTTTAGCAACAGTAGACACAGACATGTGTATGTATCTTTGCTACTTTTAAAATACTTTGTAAACACCACAGAAAAGACTTGTGCAATTAAATAGAGGAAATGCAAATAATCTGATTTTTTTTCTTTACAGATGACAATGAATGTGCAAATGCCACACAACTTTGTGGAGAAAATGCATACTGTACAAATACAGTGGGAAGTTACTTCTGCACATGTGCCCCCGGATTCAGATCAAGTAATGGCAATGCAATGTTTGTAACTAACGATGGGTCTTCTTGCAAAGGTAAGAGGCCAATGGATCTTTGGTATGCTTTTCTCAACACATTTCCTTGGTTCAATATCAGAATTCAAAGATTTCACTGAACTCTGGACTTTGAGCCAGTTTGGTGTAGTGGTTAAGTACGAGGACTCTAATCTGGGAGAACCGGGTTTGATTCCCCACTCCTCCACTTGCACCTGGCTGGATGACCTTGGGCAAGCCATAGTTCTGATAAGAGCTGTTCTTGAAAAAGAGCAGTTTCTGTCAGAGCTCTCTCAGCCCCACCTACCTCACAGGGTGTCTGTTGTGGGGAGGGGAAGGGAAAGGAGTTTGTAAGCCTCTCTGAGACACCTTTGGGTAGTGCAGGGCAGGGTATAAATCCAGTCTCTTATCTTCTTCTTTTTACAACCTTGGCACTGGTCCTGGTGCCTCTGGCTCAGGATCCTTGTCATATTTTGTTCAGTTTCTGAATACTGAATGACTGATTCCTGATCTTCTTACTTAAACGAAATTGTGTTAATATCAGCAAAACTTTAAACTCAATAATTTTACAGTTTAGATTATAATAGATTCAGTCTGGATTTTGCTTCTTCATTCAGCTTTGTCTGCCACCCATTTGATTATATAAGTAGCACTTTACCATGATGGGTTCAGGGTGGAGAGAAGTACTTTGGCTTACAGTCTCAGGTTTCATTGAGCATCCATCAGCATACCACTCTTGCTATGGGAGATGGAACTCTAGCAAATACATTCTCAGGTTCTGGTACATTGCAGTATGATGTTTCTTGCATTGCTCTATAGCCAACATACATGTCTGGTAATAAATATACCATCATGGCCTATCCCCAAGGAAATGTTGATCTCTGGCCGAGTTCAGACTGGCAGTTTGCCCCGATATAGGCACGTTTCAGAAATGTTCCACAACCAGATTAAAGGGTCCGTTCACACAGGAACATCTGTCATGTGTTCCCCACCCGTACTCAACCCGTCTTGTAACACTTTGCTCCTGAGTTTAAAAGATACCTGGTGAAAGTGGTAGCAAACCCTGGGAAAATGCAATTATCCCGCCTCCATCCCGCACCAACAAAGTGTGAACACCAAAAGCGTTTCTTATGTGTTTGTGCATTTATGCCAAAAAGAAAGCCGCACCTTACAGCCATGCCTCGGGGCCAACAGTGTGAACACTCCCTTGTGCCTCGTCCCGTTATGCTCCTGCAGCAGTTGCTGCAGTGTGAACGGGAAAACCTGGAACAGTTTGTTCCAGCTCTTTTTTTGCCACAACTCCCTCCCACTTCAAACTGCCAGTCTGAACTCAGCCTCTAGTTCAGGTTGCCTACATACAATGAGTGGTATATAACCGCTCAACGAATTTGCCTACCATGTTGAATTTTACTGCCAAACTTACTGTTTCTAAGGATGCTTACTTTGTTGCTAATTCAAGGTCAAGAATCAACATTTATATTTGGGGGTATTGATGGGTAGATGAGATTGCCATGGAACACAATTTCCTTGCTATTTGCTGCCTTGCTGGGCACAGATCTGCCCTTGTATCTAGTACAAGCATGACCCTGGAAATGGTAATGAATGAAGAAGCTTGTGTTTGCATTGCCATGAACTTCCTCAGTGTGGTTCAGAGCTGAACACATGAAATTGCCTAGTGAGCCAGAATATTGATCTATCAAGGTTAATATCTATTTTTTTTTAAAAAACAATTTTATTAGGATTTAACAATAAGTCAAACTATACATCATCTTATTTACTATCTTATACCCTTTTCTCCTAGTACCCCCCCTTCTGACTTCCCGCAGTGCTCCAACCTCCAGTCCAAATCTTAAATGTTCCTTCTTCTTTCTATTCTTCAATATTAGAGTTCTTCAGGTAACCTATCTTTTAACTAAAGGTTAATATCTAATTTGATTGGCAATGGTTCTCCAGGATCTCAGTTACATCACCTGCTAACTAACCCTTTTAACTAGAGATGCCAGGGATTGAACTTGGAATCTTCTATGTACAAAGCAAATGCTCTACCACTGAACTATTTCTTGTACAATTCTTTATGCATCTGTTCAGAATCTGCTTGAATAGTGTGTGTTTAGAATTTATACTGAACAAAAGATTTGCTAGAAAAAAGTATCCCTTAACAATTTTTATAGACCCTAAGTATTGTTCTTCTTTAAAAGAAAAATAACTATTTTGCATTTTTTTTTAGTCTTCTGGTGTTTTTCTTATGCTGTTGGTTGCTCCACAGGGACTGGGAAAACAATCAATAAATCTATTTCGTCTTTTGGCAAGTATATTATCCCCGTGTTGATTGTATCTTATTCAAGACACATCTCATATGCTTTACAGTCCTGATAATTTGTTTTCCTCATAGTATTCCCAGTATGGGAGTTATGCTTGCATTTTAGTCTAGGGAGGCATTTGTTTAACATTTCTGCAAGGATGCTTCATACACCCATCAAGCCCTTTATTCAGCTTGATATGATTTTATTACCCCTCACTCCCACAATGAAATATCTTCTTGATGGTCTCTAGAATTTGAGAGCCTGCAGTCCATTTTAGATTTTCCATGTCTTGACAATGGTTATAAAGATGAAGTGATCACATCTGTGAGTTCAAAAGATGGAATACAGTTGTTTGAAAAATCAGACTAGTAATTGTAAAAAAAATTTAAAACGTCATATAGATCTTGATATAGTGGATTGATTAAAAGTGAATATACCCTGGTTATCTGAATTTTGATTGCCGCTAATTCTTTCTCCATTGACTTGTTTAAACTTATGTTAATAGTACTCTTTAGCCACATTTCTGATCAGCTGCATATTTCAATTCACTATGGCCTTTTTAATACAGAGTCTTGGGAGATATCCAAAACTTCCAGTTCATCAGGCATTTTTGATAAATGGGAGTGGGATTTACTTACACTGACATTTCCATAAGCATTCACTGCTGCTAGAGACAAAAAATTCACTAGATGAATGGCTGAAGGGATAAAAACACTGGATTTTATTAAAGTAATTTCATGAGATGTTCCTTGGCAATGCCCAGTCTTAGGAATTATGAAATATATTAGCCTATCTTTCTAAGACATTGGCCACATTCAAACATTACAGTTAACCCCTTCACAAGCATGCTGTGCTCCACATTCCTTGCCTATGCCCCTCCCATGCATTGAGCATGACTGAGAGCTTCCTGGTTTCAGGGGATTTTAGTCAGCCTCCAGTGTATAGTGATGCCAAAATGTTGGAAGCCAGGGGGAACCAGAGTTTGTTTCCTCCCCATAAACTCTAAATTGGGATTAAACCATGGTGTAGACTCCAGGTTTGTGGGAAGAGAATGACCTCCAATTAGCCAAGTCACCTGCCTTCAGACATCATATAAAATTGGGAGGTCTTCAGTCACTCTAGGGGAAGATGGAGGGGGGTGCATATGAGCATGGCAAATAAGCCATGTTTGTGCCCAGTGAATAAAATATCTGAATGTTGCAAGTGAATTTTTTCTCGTGACTTCTCTATTGGCTTGTGGCCCACATGAACTTTACTACTGTTATTGGTGTAAAATGACACTGTAGAAATTATCTTTGTTTTCTCCAATATTATTATGAACTATTTTTATTTGGCTATCTTCTCAGTCCTGGTTTGGTTATTGGGGGGGGGATTTATTACACAAGAACATCCTAATGTACACAATGACTTTATGTTTGACCCCTCCCCCAGTTGGAAAAAAAACAGACACCAGATTGGGTTTTAACTAAAGGCCCCTTTATTAACTATTTACACATTTTGCAGCAAGGGCAAAACCCCAAGTGCAGAAATAGGCCAGGGGTTGCCCCCAGCCAGCTCTTTGCCATATGTTGGGTGAACCACCTTTGCCCCAGGTGAAAGCCCTCCCTCTGGCTCACCACCAGCAAGTATAGCAAACATGATGTTGCTTTGGAGCTCCCCCCAAGTTGCAAAATGTAGAGGGGAGGATCTGAGCCAGGGCAGTCCCAAAGGCAGTCTGCATTCCCATCCCTGGGTCACAAAACCCGAAGGCTGAGCCTGACAGACCCCTTGTCCTCCAGCAGGGAATGTGCCGTATGGTGCTCACCAGATCCATTTTCCCCTTTTCCTGCACTAACCTGCCACCCACAAGGCCAAGCCTTTGCTTAGCACCCACCAGGCAGCCCAAAGCTGCCTGCAGCCTTTGCCACAAATCCACCAGAAATATATCATTGTTCTTTTCAGATAGATGTACCCCATCACCCTTGTACAGGTCGATCAATTCAGCCTGTATACCAGGGAGAGGCAAATATTGACCCAATCTGCCCACCATCGCCTTCCTCAATTCCCTGTTCACTTTCTGGTGAGCCCTGTACAAACATCTAGGACCCCCTCTCCATGTCACACCACACTCGGCATGGCAATATCTCAGACCACATAATCTGCTCACCAGGCCACCTGCTCCTCATGAACTCCAGGTCAGCCTTTGCCTGAATCACCAGGGCATTCCCTTTTACAAGACTGAGATCATTTCTACCCAAATAGTTTAACAATACATGAGGCGGAGGACCCCATCTCCCCTCAAACAGCAGCAAGATGAGGCCAGGCAACCTCAAGCCCTATTTTCCCAACCACTCATCTGAAGCAAACTCACTGAGCCCCTACTGCAAACCAATTGACCTCATTTTGGCACAGTGGGCCACCCAAAAGACCTTACTATGGCCGCAAATGGTAACTCTTCACCTCTCACAGTGGCTGACAAAACCTAGAAAGAAAACACAGTCAACAGCAGAACACCAACCCCTTACTGAGTATGAAGCAGACAAACATAAGACTTGCAACACTGTGACCTCCAACACCTCAGCCATTTTAGCAGTGTAGCCCATAGCAGCTGACATGGATTTTGCCCCAATCTGAAATGAGTGGGTCCCAAACTGAAACTGACCCAGACTCAATGTGTACAACACCATCCTGGTCACTACCCAAAATTGAAACTAGGTCAAGAGGCTGGCATCACTGTGCTGGAACAGTATGACCCCCTCC